AGCTTTTTGACATTAGGTAATTTTAACCGATACTTACCGCCAAAAGCAAGAATTATAGCTGGAAACCAGCCTTTGATTTGAGAGTCTTCCCAATATGCCTGACATGTTGCTCCAGCTTCAACGGCTTCATCTTCGATCCTGACTTTGTCTCTACTGAGGACTCTTCTAACGCCATCCTCTACGAATTTTGATGAGATAGAAATCTACAGAAAAAAATCACGATTTTCTTCCTTGAGATCCATACAAAAAAACCCCAATCAATCAATCCTGCTTTTGACAAGCAGTTCACGTGCTTGTTTCAGACTAACTCGTTCGCATTTCGTTTGCGTACTTCGATCGAAAGTAACTTACCGTCATCATCTTGAAAGCGTGTTGGAGTTTTCGTTACACGCGATGTTCTGCCAACCATTTTCGAAAATTTTTCAAAAGAAGGTGATCTGAGATATGGGTGCTACACTTGAAAACGCTGGTATGCGATGTAACCTGCTTGCTACACGTGAAAATGCTGGAAAACGACGCTAAATATTTCAAGTCAAAAAAGCCGCCAAAGCTCGCCGGCAAGCTGTGAAATTTTTTCGCTTAGCCAATCACATCCGTTTGTTTGTGTCGGTCCCACTCCCTACTCTTGGTTATGCCATCTCCTCAATTGTCAACAATGCCGAATCGTGGAATCGGCCAAAGAAATGAGCCATGAATTCTCAAACTAATGGAAGAAAACGAAACGGCTACAATACTTTTCGGGCTTCTTGTAATCCTGTTCCACCCAAACGTAGTTTTAGGCGTCATTTGAAAGCGATTTCAAGTGAAATTCCGCGTGGCAACCCAGTATCTACAAACGTCAATTTGACAGCGGATCGGCAAGGATACACGTGCTTCTCGTCTGAACAAAATGGCAATCATCTTTATGAGATGCACGAAGACGATGTTATATTCTCTGCAAATCAACGTGACAGCTCAATGGAAGACCAGGATTTACAAGCCAAGGAAATCGGGGAGGCTTACGACGAGATCGAATATTCCGAAGAGGTGGTTTGCAAAAGTGGTTTTACAGCTGACTTTCAGAGAAAAGAAGTGCAATGAGGTGATGTATATGTAAGGGACAGCGAAAATACAGAAAAAGAAGACGATCCGCCCATATACTCATCTTGCCCTCTATGACTTTCCGAGAGCATATTGCTTATCACGACATTGGCAATTCGACATAATCTAACTGGAGATGCTTTGGCCGATGTGATCAAACTTGTTGATTTGCACTGTGTTCCAGGACCTAATAGCCCCTCAGTTAAAACCTTGAGAGAATTGAAGTCTTACTTTGCGAACTCCAAAGAAGCCTTGGACTTGTTTTACTATTGCAAATGTTATAGTTTGCTTCCTACAAAACACACTGCAGTTTGTCCCATATGTGGTACAGACCTAAGCTTATCCTCATCAAAGAGCTACTTCGTGGTCTTGCCAATTGAACATCAACTATCCAAGTTTTTGTCACGTGAGTAACATAAGTCTAAATCAGTTTATTATTTTGTTTTTCACTGAAGTATAGATTAATTAATAAAGGAATAATTTTAGGATTATTAATTTCCAGGACCCGGTTGTTCAAATCATGATTAAGTTAACCCGGCCAAGACTAGCGTCCATTTTAATTTTAGTTTTAAAACTTTTCATGCAGTTAGGTCTTGGCTATACTGTATATTTTTTGTGCTCCAGGTTTTATGTTGACTGATCTCAACTTCACAAAACATAAGTAATGAAATTAACAAATTGAGGTCAGTTTTTCATGTGTCTGTTCTGTTATCGATCATGAATTTCATCACAACATTGTCAAAGTAGCCGTGGATCCACTTAGTAGGAATGAGCAAAAAACTACTTTGACAATGATATGACAAAATTCATTGTCAATAACAGGACAGACACATGAAAAACTGCCATCTATTCATATTTTGCAATAACAAATTGTCAAATTGTCCGCTCTCGCTTGTTGCTTCATAAATTCACGAGTCTGTTCATTTATTGACAATGAAAGTTAGCTAATGAGCATGCAAGAATTTCTGCTGATTGTTATTGTAAAAAACACTTTTGCACATAATATATGAAAAACCAGTTTTAATAGTAGAATTCTCATCAGGATGACCAAATGGTGGCTGCAGGGTCACGTAATTGATAGAGGTCTAAGACATTGATGTATAATGCAATGATTCCTTGCATTACAAGTGAAGGCTTTTATGAGGATTTGTTTCATCGTTTTACAAGGCAAAAGACTGCAGACTGCATCTGTGATGTTTATGATGGAAATCAATATCGCAAATTGTTTGCTAATGGAGGAGTGTTGTCAGATCAAAACAATATGTCACTGAAAGTCAATACTGATGGGGTTCCTATCTTCAAGTCATCAGGATTTTCATTATGGCCCATCTTTTTCGAAATAAATGAACTGCCACCTAGGAAAAGGTAAAAACTGAACTGTTTTAATAGGAAATGTTTTTCTCACTGGTGAATTTCTCATTATCATATGTTCTAGGCCTGTCTTTTTTGAGACTGTTATTAACAATAACAATATTAAATAATTAATACACAAGTAATATACATTAGGCTGAGGGTAGGAAATGACTGACATTTCAAGCTAATTAATAATAATAATGATAAAAATGATAAAAATAATAATAAATTATAATAATAAGTGAACAACAGGTCAACTTGTTTTCATCTCTATGAACGGAGGGATTTACGTTACACTTGGAGTTTAGAAATGTTACATGTATGGTGATGCAGTCATATTACTGTTACTGAAATAATGTTGCTAACATACATCCATACATTGTATTAGGAGACAAGTGAACAACTTAGTGATGGGAGGCCTGTGGTTTGGAGAACACAAACCAGTCATGGGAACGTTCCTGAAACCATTCCAAGAAGCACTGTCCAGACTTGAAATTCAGGGTATAGCCTTTTGATATATATTTTATAACTTGCTGTAAAAGTCTGT